GTAGGGCTGGAGTTTTCCTACGGTCATAGCCAAATTGCTCATGTTGTTCCTGACTTTAATGGAAATTACTTTTGGCTATGACATTTGCTGTTGGCTTCTGATAAATATGTACACTTTTATTAAGTTCAAGGAAGTTTTTTTCCTTAGTAAGACGATCCTTTTAAAGTTAATTGATATTTACTGTTTTTAAATACTTAAAAAAACTAACATGATCACATCACACCTTTCCTTCCACTTAAACTATTAACATATAGAGTGTGATAGTAATAGAGTCCTGTGGTATTCAAAAATATATTTGGTCTCTGTCCCCATTTTGGGAACAGAGTTCCTATATCCTCTGAATTTCCTGATAGGATTGTCTTTAGTCAGATCAAAGGTGTCACCCTCTTTCCCTCCAAAAGTCCCCACAGGAAGCAGGATCTCTGTGACTGCTCTCTGTGATTGGACTCTTTAAACTATTCTTTTCTGTTAATACCTTGCCTTTGTGTGAGCTAGACAAACAAATGGAAGAACTCCTTTTGACCACATCTGAGTTTATGCTAATGAAGGGATAGGGTTGGGGCTCCTGAACAGCCTCAGGATGGGGGGGTAAGACTGTAAGGAGTGAAGAGGCTGTAGACAGAGCTCTGCCTGGCTCTTGACACGGTGAAAGTCAGCCTGCAGGCTGGCAGAGGCGGAGGCTCGGGGAGGTGGGGGTCAGAGAGGGCGGGAGGCTCAGCTGTGACCCCCTTCCCTCCATCCCTTGCCTTACGCATCTTTTCCAGTTGTCTGTGCCTAAGTTGTATTCTTTATAATAGTTTGGTTAAAACGCTTAGAAAGGCCAAAACTCACAATGTCAGAGTTTGGAGTGAGGAAAGGTTTATTGATCGAGAAGATGCCGACAGAGGAGAGGGGAGACTTCCTGGTGCTGCATATCCCTCCATCTTAAGAGAGTACAGAGTCGAGGCTTCTTTATGTCAAGGGAAGGGGAAATGGGAGGGGCTAGAGGTGACTGATCAACTAGATAGATAATCGGAATGCCTGCAAGGGTCCGAAAGAGATTGTGTTAGTGATGTGAGTTCAGTCCAAGGTTCCTACAAATCCTTGATAAACAGGACTGCACTTCGCTTAGCCCCTCAAGCTGCAAGCAGAATTCCTCCAATGTTCAGCATGTCTACGTGCAGGACTCAGCAGAAGCTACTCGCCTGAAGGCCTTGGGAGCGAAAAGACTAGAACTGGATGCCCAGAGGCCGAGCAGTTCACGTCGCCCTTTTCAGTAGAGTTGGGGGTTAGAGTTCATTTCTGCCAGCACTCTAAAGACACTGTGGCCCTCCGGCTTCCAGTGTTGCTGAGACGTCTGATGCCAAGTGTGGTTCTTACTCCTTCGCAGAAAGGGTGACTGTGTATCCTGGTTTTCTGGAACACCCTCAAGTTAGGTTTTCCAGCGAGTGCTCTTAAAAAGTATCATTATTTGTTGATGAGCTACAGAATCACTGTATTTGTAGGTGACCTGATTTTTGTGTTTTGGAAGCTTTTATCATATTCTTACACCTGAGAATTAATTCACAGGCCGTGTCTAGAGGGCGGTTTCTGTTCCCCCTTTATCTGCTCTGCACCCAGCTGGGCCTTCCGTTCTGAAGCCCATCGGCTCTGGGATATTTTAGTGCAGAGTGCTTTAGGAATTTCTGGCTCTTCATTCTCTTGTTCTTTCCAAACCTTCTTTTAGTGGAACTTGGTTTTTTGTATTAATTTGACATGTTACTTTAAAAAATCTTTTTGACTCCTGTTTTTAGTTTTTGCTTTCCTTTCTGGGAAAATATCCTCAACCTCATTTTCTAATACATTTATTGGCTTTTTAATTTCAAGTGCTATTATTGATTTCCTAGAGCTTTTTCTTATTTTCAGTCCTTCAGTATAGCCCATAGCATCCTTGTTTCATCCATATAATAGTCTCTCATATTTTGAGAAAATTATATGTACATATTTAAAGTATGTTGCTTCTATTTCCTACATTGTCTATTTTCATTGAGTTTTCTCCTTCCTCCTTTTTCTTTAATTTTTAAAAAATTGTACTGGTACTAGAGAGAGAGAAAGGGAGAGAGATATCGATTTGCTTTCCACTTATGTAAGCATTTATTGGTTGTTTCTTATATGTGCTCTTATGGGTGATTGAATCCACAATCTTGATATATCAGGACAATGTTCTAACCAGCTGAGCTGCCTGGCCAGGACCTTCTCTCCTTTCTCTTTTTGTTTTTGTTTTTGTCATTGTCTTTGTCTGTCAGTTGGATGGGTTTTTCCTCAGATATCTGCTGATCAAGAACTACATTTTCTGTCTGGACTTTTGGTTTGGATACATCTTCCTGTTTCTAGTGTCTTTTTCCGTTAGTGAGTTCACGATATTGGCACTGGGTTCAGCATTGTGAAACAGATGGGGTTATGCTCCTGTGTAAAAAACCTGAATGGTTCTTCAGAGACCTGGGCGATGTTTGAACTGCTCTGCACTTAGCCCGGCGTGCAGGGCAGTGAGATGCTGTGTGTTTCCTAGAGCTGTTGTTAACGCCTTAGGTTTGGGGGCTTGAAACAGCGGAAATTTACTCTCTGACAGTCATAAAGGCCACATGCGGAATCAGCATTATTGGGCTGAAACCGAGGTGTTGGCAGGGCTGTGGTCCCTCCAGAGGCTCTGGAGGAGAAGCTGCTCTTGCCTCTTGAGCCTCCGCGAGGGCTGCATCGGCGCAGACCCGGCCTTCCAGCCCAGCGTCTTCACGTCCCCCTGCTCCTTCTTCATGTGGCCTTCTCTCTGTGCGTCAGATCTCCCTCTGCCCGCCTCTTAGACGGACACTTGTGATGGCGTTTCAGGCCCACCAGGAAATCCAGAATCGCCTACTCATCTCAAAATCATTAACTTAATCATACCAGACCCTTTTCCGAAATAAGGCAACACTTACAGGTTCCAAGGATTGGTGCTCTGATACCTTCGGTTTCATTTATCAGCCTACTACAAGGACTTACTGTTGTCTTAAATGCCGGGTTTTTTTTTTTTTGATAATATCTCTGTACTTTTACAGATGCTGTTACTGCTGCCTCCAGTTCTTTCACAAGGTTGACTCCTTGGCCCAAAACAGTAGCTTTTGACATGTCAAAATCCTGTCTGTCTCTACCACTGGAGTAGGAACTTTTCGAGTACCATGGTATGAAAATCGTTAGGTATGGAGCTGAGTAGAGTAGGCATTTAGCAAATATTTGTTCAGGAGCTGCAACATTTATTGAGGGCCAGTTAAATACTAGGGCCTGTCATGCTTCGTCACCGTTGAAGTTTCTCCACAGCCGTTTCTCAGAAGGGATTTGCTAGGTCATAGGAATTTACGTTTTCAGCTTTTGGTAGGTGCTGCCAACTTGCTCTTCATAGTGGCTGCACTTTCCCAATAATGGCAGTAGCTGTCTTGTTTTATCTTGTTTGAGTTATTTATTTTTTATTTATGAAAATTGTGCAGATGTTACAAATATGAGTTTTTATGTATGTTGCCCTCATTTCTGTGAGATCCCCGCCTCTCCCCCCGTGGACAAATTGATAGATAAATAAATGAATGAACTTGTCTAGAGCAAAGCTACATGGATAAATGGATGAACTTGTCTAGAGTCATAGCTACTAAGAAACAGCAGGGATTAAGGCCTGTTTTTCTTTTTTGTGTTTTTTAAGTATATCTGACTGCCTTCCAGGGAATGAGGAAATTGACTCCACTTACTAGCTCTGAGTTTAGGCTGATGTCAATACGTTTTTAAAATAACTGTGTTGACAGCTATCTGCTTCCCACCTGAGAAAAATCATTGAGGTAACGCGTGAAAGTGTTGTATACACAGTGAAATAACTGTTTATAAATATTGGTAATTCTTTTGACTATCATCCTAGTGAGTGAATAAACTTGATACACTTAAAAAGTTTTGGACGTACATTTACAAAAATAGACTTTTTGGAAAGCAGTTTCAGGTTCACAGAACAGTTGAGCAGATACAGAGATTTCACGCATACCCCCTCCCCTCATATGTGCGTGGTCGCCTCCATTATCACCGTCCCACACCAGAGTGGTGCAGTTATTGTAATTGATGAATCCACACTGGACCCACATCGATGTGTCTGTATCACCCAGAGTCCTCAGTTTCCGTTAGGATTGACCCTCGGTATTATATCTCATGGATTTTGACAAACATGTCACGACGTATATCTGCCCTACACAGTAGTTCCACTACCTTAAAAATCCTCCGTGCTCTGCCTATTTATGTGCTTCTTCCCCAACCCATGGCAACCCCAAACTGTCCACATCGCCTCAACAGCTTTGCCTTTTTTAGAATGTCATATAGTTGGACTCATACAGTATGTGGCCTTTTCACACTGACTTCTTTCATTTAGTAAAATGCATTTAAGGCTCGTCCATGTCTTTTCCTGACTTGGTTGCTCCTTTCTTTTTGGCACTGAGTAGTATCTCATCGTCTGCATGTACCTCAGTGTGTCCCGTCAGCCACTGAAGGATGTCTGGGTTAGTTTTACGTTTAGGCACTTATGAATAAAGCTACTGTAAATTTGTGTGCATTGTCTTCTGTGGACATAAATTTTCAGCTCCTTTGAGTAAACATCAAGGAGCTCGATGGCTGGATCCTATGGTAAGGGTCCGTTGCGTCTGTCAAAGACGGCCAGCTGCCTTCCAAAGTGGGTGAGCCCTTTCGCATTCCCCCAGTGATGAGTGGGAGTTCCTGGTGCTCCGCCTGCTTGCCAGCACTTGGCGATGTTAGTGCTTTGTGTTTTGGCCATTCTGATAGGTGTGTATTGGTCCATGGTATGCTTTTTTGGTGAAAATTATGTGATAAAACGTCATTTGCTAGTATGATTTGTCGAGAAAAACTCAGCAGAAATTCTTCATTGAGGTTTGGAAGTAGAAATGTCTCCAGGAAAAGGTGGATGCGCGGCTCTGATTCACCAGACTGCGAGCAGTGATGCTTATCTCGTGTGTCTGTTTTCGCAGGTGTCGAAACCCAGTCGCCTGTCGTGAAGACGCTACCAGTACCTCCTGCCATTGTCAACTGGTAAAATGTTTTAATTACAAAATATCTCTATTAGACATAAAATACTATTAAGTTCAAGTTAAACTGAACTCAAAGTTAATTATTCCCATTTTGTGATAACAGAATTATGAAGTTATGAGATGGTAGCTTTCATACCAATTTTAACTCTGACCGCATTGGGACATTAAGCCATGTTATTCAGCAACATAATTTACCTTCCTTTCCTCAGTTTGATTTCATTTTGCATTTGTGTTCTGTTTGAACTCAGCAGCCTCTTTATTTTTGCAAAGGTTAGTCCTTACTGGACTGATATTACTGATTCAACATGTGATGGTCATTTTAAATTTGTGTGAGTGTTATTTTAAGTTTCTAACTGGACATTTTAATGGAAGCAGGTTCAAGGCCAGGAAAAGGACAGTGGGCTTTTTGTTAACCTATAGCAAGTTCTGCATGTTAATTATAGTTGTCGTGGGGGTGAACTATAGCACAGTTTTATTCTTTCCTTCTGAAGTGAATTAGAGCTTTTGGAATTTGGGGGCAGGAATTTAAGGATCAAGCAGCTTGAAAGATTTTTAGCATTCTGAGAAGCAAAAGAAATTGGATAGAACTGTTACCAGGAACAGTGTTGGTAAAGTACTTTGAAACTATAAAACAATGTAAAGTGCTATGAAACTATAAAACAATAAATGTAATTGTACCTACTTTTTATCTAATTTTATCTATTAGAATCAGGATTGTTGATATTTGTCTTGTTTCAGAAAATCATTTTAGAGTCTTTGCACATGTTAGTTGAATTTATTAATCCTTATATTTTTTTACTGATTTTAAAAAGAAACTACACGAATGTATTTATTATTAAAAACTATAAACAGTATCAGAGTGTGTAAGCAAAAGGGAAACGTGCCTTTCCCCCAATTCCTTTGCTAGGTACTACCCCCCCACCAGTTTGGAGTGGGTTCTTCCGGGCCTTTTGTGTGCATAGCCAAGGTTACCATCTTTAAATGAAGTGCGCGTGACCCTAACCTTGACCATTGATATGCCCTCACTTTATTTTAGACATTTCTTTCCTATGTCTTCTTGAGTGATATCCTTGGCCAAATGAAAAGTGCTTTGAAGAGACTGAGTAAACACACCGGGACACAATACTTTCTTTACACCTTTCGTTTGTGATTCGTGGGTTATGGAAATCCCAAACTTCGAATTTCTAGCTAAGAATGGATCAGCAGAGTTTAGATTTACATGAAACTGATACTGCAAATATAATTCACTGCATATTAAACAGTAGGTATGGCATTTATGTAAATGACTGCAATTAGTATTACTTTACAGAAGGTCAGCTAGACTGGGATAGAGAGAGAAGTGGTTGGAGTTTAGTACATCTACTTAGGGGCCGGGCTGGGAGGCGGTGTCTGAGACTAAAGTGACAGAGCTAAGTATCTCATAATTTTGCCTAGACTTGAGTAGGCAGCTGAAAAGGGAAAAGAGATTTGTGAGAGGGAAAAGAGTATGTAAAGAATTAAAAAGAAAAATAAAATGATTGAGATTATATGAAGAAGATATAATAGAAGACTAAGTATTGACTAAAGGGAACAATTGCAAGTTTAAACCTTACTCTTAACTGTTTAACATTTGGGCAGTACAAATAGTATGTTAGTTGTGATGTAGGTGATTTATTCTGTAGTTATATGTATTTCCACGATATACTTAAACTTCTAATTAGGTATGTATTTGCTTTTTTTAACGTGTCTTGTGACTGATAGGGCAGATACAGATAAGATGGTCTGAGGAAAAGAGAAGGAGGCGTCCGAGGCCTCTTACTGAACAACTCGTAAGTCGTTTGAAATGAAAGAAAAGGTATGGCCTTCGATTGAACAGTCTTAGATGGATTCAGACTGCAAAATTATCCTAAGCACTTGTAGCTCTTACTCATAAATGGAATAAGCATTTTTGAAGTTATCTTGAAAATTATAAATAAGATACTTCAATCTCTTTATATCCTCAAAGGCTAAGTTTACCTGAAGAACTGTTTTTTTTTCTCAAACATAGATACGATGTTCTCATTATAGGCACATTTACTTTTGCTGACAATATTTCATACATTTAAAACAATTATATTTAGCCTCTGGTTTTTGAATTTTCTTTAATTTTTTAAAATTTTAATCTGGGAAAGAAAATAGGTAAATTTGAAAGTAAAATTGTTAATTCAACTAAAACAACCTTCACTTAAAAATTAGGCCACCTGTTCAGTCTCCTAGGTACAGGTTCATGCTGTATTAATTACAGTACTTGGCTGGACTGAGTTGGAATTAGTAAGACCCTCAGTACCAGCTAGCCAGGAGGATGTCATTGTGCAATCTAATAGTTCATGTTCTGAAATGTTCATGTCATTAGCTCTCATTAACCATTTTGTAGGGGCTGATGGAATACATAAATCATACTAAGGGGGTAAGTAGTCCAGTTCACGTTGTCTTAGTACAGTCAAGCTGTTCAGTGGTTGGCTAGTTAGTACCGACCGATACACATGTCAGATGGTTGCACCAAGTAGGGCTCCTGCTCCACCATTTGGGTAACGTAATGGTGACTGAACATGCCATCCCCCTGTTCTTCGGTGAGTCAGTCCTGAATAAAAAGCTCAACTCTGTGGCTTGGGAAGGTAAGTAGAAAGTAGAGTAGCACTAGGTTTTTCCATAGATGAGGAAGCTGAGGCACAATGGCTCAGCACCTTGAACTCAGTGTTGAGGGGTGTGTGGGGATATACCACGTGACTAGGTAGGTGAGTGGACTGTGGAGCCACCTCTAGTGCTTCCCTGTGTGGCACTAGGTCCTGGTATGGGGTAGTTAAGGGCGGACATAAGCCTAAAAACCCTGAGAGTTAGGAAGCCTGTGGTGGGTCATCTGTTTTAGATGTGTGGAGTCTGTAAATTGAACTGGTTAATAGACTTGGTTCTGAGCTATGTTCCACATGTATCCTCTACTTTTGGGACTGGAGTGGAATTCGGAAGGTGGGGTTCAACAGTTCTGTGTCATAAAATCCCAGGACATGTAAGTTTTACCCTGGGGTACTGGACATAAGAAACAAAATGCTTAATATATGAATTTTCTTAAAAATAAATTTGGAATCATCTAACTGAAGCTTATGGAGAGATACCCGCTAAACTGACTAGTTAAGTAGGGATGCTAGATGGAACAGTTGCAGTTTCACATACAGGATGTGTTAAATATCATTCTTAAATATTTTACTTACTGTTATTGTATGAGGAACTTCATGGGCAGGTATATGGTGTCAGTCTCCTGTGGCCTCCGAAGTTGTAAATGTATTAAACGTGAATACTAATGGTAGTGGGGAGATTTGAGTGTTTATTATTATAAGGCAAGCATTACATTCTGAATTAACTGTTTAATCCTCTTAATAATCTTATGATGCAGATATTATTCTCCACACTTTACAGATAAGGGACTGGAGGTTAGAAAGGCAATTTGTCTAAGGCAACATTCAGTAAGCAGTAGAGCTAAGTGTCAGACTGTTTGGCTCTAGAGCCTGAGCTCTCAGGAAGAGTCCAGTTGAATGGACTTTGGTATCTATCAGCAGGATGTAAGAAATAAAGGAAAACAAAATATTAGTATACATAGTTTTATAGCACAACAAAATTTTAAGTATCATTAAAGCATACATTGTGTTTATGTAGAATGCTTTCACCTACTTTCCTTATTTGTCCCTAACGGGAGTTTTATGAGGTGCTCACTGTTATCACCCCAGTGTTACAGTGAACCTGAAGCTGGGGTGTTTGGGGACTAGTCCCACGTGACATGATGAGTAAGTGGAGAGGGCGCGTCAAACCCAGAGCTTATTGCCGTAGTTCTAAAAGGAGCAGGTTTATTGAACGTTTTTTATATGCAGTCAAACCAGTGTTGCAAGTAATCAAGACCTTCAGCAGATCACATAAAGTACCTAAGTAAAGTAAGTACCTGTCGGCTTTGAAACTGCTCGAAACAGAACTTTGTGCTCATTCCAGCTGTACTAACTTGCATTTGTAATGCTTTTGCATTTTTCCAAAGTCCTTTACATCTACTGCATTCCATTTTATCCTCACAGCAAATTTTGTGCATTAGATAAATGATGACAGATATGTGAAAATAAAGTATAGTAATGCTATTTCAAAGGAAAAGAGCAAACTTAATTACTGGTGGGGTTCAGGCTACAGTTTGTTTGCTTACTCTGTGAGATTATTGACTGTAGGGTGATCAGGTTGTCCCAGTTTGGGACTTTCCCGGTTTTTGTAGTTTCCGAGTCCTGGGGAGTCCCTCAGCCCCAGGCAAATTGGAGAGGTTGTTCATTCTAGTGACTTGCCCCATGGGGTGATGGACTGGGTGTTGGGAGTATTTTCCATATGGGAGTACAACGCACTCATGTGAATCGGAATCCCAGTCAGCACTGGCTAATTTTTTGCTGTATGTCCCAAATATTGCATTGGACATGCATATTTTGAAATTTGTTCATTATTAGAAATTTACATTAAATTAGGCACCTTGTATTTTTATTTGTTAAATCTGGCACCCCTAAGTAAGAGCAAAGGGAAATTCTGGTGTGTAAAAGTCCCCACTTTTTTGGTGAACACATTTATGTCTGTAAGGAAGCTCCACCTGCAGTTTACTTCTGTGGGGTCCAACTCTTGTCCTTTCAGCTACATGGGCAGGATGGGTGTCTGAGGTCAGGATGAATATGTGAAGCCAGATTTTGCCTGGTACGTCAGACCTGGTTTCTGAGTGTGTTGGTGTGAAGCTGTTCTCCTTTACTTGTCAGACTGAACGCAAATCTGAGCCCATTTCATCTTTGTTGGACCAGTCTGTCAAAAAACAGCACATTCTCAGAGACCACCCATGTACTGTCTTCAGATTGTATGTTAAAAAGTAATTTTGTTGTTGTTAAGATAGTGCATTGGTGTGATTGGAAGTGAAAAGGAAGTAAAGGCTTTACCCGTCCTGTTCTTGCACCCATTATTCAGTTACTTTCTGTGGAGACC